AGTGGCATATCTTTACAAAAAAATTATCGTAAATTCGTCATTGAATTTATTATACACATGTATAATAAATTAACTCTCAATTAAACAATTGATTGCAAGCTTCAGTTTCAAATTAGCGCTAATTTATATATATATATCATAAAATTAACCATGTAATTAATTTATACGTATATGCTATAATAAATTAATTTCTAATAAATCGGTTGATCACATAAGTACCGATCATAAAACAAATGTCATTGTTTTGGCGCAATGGGATGGTGTAACAGAGAGATTTATACTTTATACTTTCTCCGACTGTCAAAGCTGCGACCTACCGCTTCTCATATTGGCTCTCTCGATTCGTGAATCATTAGTATGGCTTGAGACAGTATGGTATGTATAGTGACAGTGGTTGACACGGGTCGAATGTAACAATATTTACATGGTGATAGTTACATGTAAGCATTTAATAGTGCCAATTAAATATTCAATTTGCTAATAGTGTTACTCTCCTCTTTTCTTTTTCCTTATACTCCGTTAACGTGGGAGTAATAAAAAATGAAAATGATCCCCGGTCACACATCATGCACGCAGTTTCTCTTGTTTCTCGCACACGAACACGCAAACACGAACAAGTCATACTGTGTGAGCATATTTTTTTTGCAAAAATTAAACAAAATCTTTTAGGAAGAATTTTTTACCAACATATATTATAAACCTATTTAAATTATAAAAAATATTATAAATCTATTTAAAAAGTACTCGACGTACGATAGTCTAACGTACACAATGACAGTATTGCTACCTAGTTATGTATCTATAGATACACAATTTGATATCGAGTTCATAGAAATCCATTCTCATTCCTCACTTGTATTATCTTCCATGCTGATTTTCTTCATACGTACGAGACATGCTCATTCGACACATCGAGTTCATGCTTTTCAACATGATTTTGTGTAAATACAGTCAAATATTCTGATCCACGCTCGACGTACGGAGAACTGTTAGAATACGACACTATCTGGTTGTCATAATCGCTGTAGTAAGCTCGAGGAAATACATCGGGCCTATAAATTTACTAACTTTCTTTCGAAATCATTTTTTTGAGAAAGTGGAGGAACTTAATTATTGCTGTATTGATTCATTCAGCAAAATATATAATGAGCCGAGTTCTCTTCTCCTATTCCACAAGTTGTATATAAATAATTCTATAATAGACTGAGGTTCTCTAAGTCCAAGTATTGTATTTAATTATATCTCTATAACGAAAAACAGCATCAATATCAACAATTTTCAAAACGGCATTCGATGTACGCAAAAATGTACGAAACTAATTTTAAAATGAACTGATATCAGTTTCGTTAACTCTGACAATTTAGTGGTATACCTATATATACATTACAGTGGTATTCATATGACTTTGCATAAAAAGAACTGTATCAAGTTATAAGTATGAAAGTGAAATCTGTCTCTCTCTTCCTTTCTTTCTCTTTTACATATTAATAATAATTTCACAATGTATCGTACAGAAAGAAACGTTTTTAATTTTCAAAGATATAATTTTGTATGATATAATCTAATAAGATTTTATTAAAAAGAGAGAGAGAATTCAATCTTCGGAGGATCAATATTGTATTTTTTATGTAAGACACTTAAAAAAATTATTTACAATATATAAATAGAAACTCTCTCTACTGTTTACCATTGTCTTTCTTATACTGAGTGATAAATTAGAAATTAATTTTTATTTTATAAAAAACTAATTTCATATATATCATCAAATATACATACAGGATGAATCAGAGTCGTTGAATCAACTTTTTACCCTATGAGAAAATTATCGACTTTATACCTAATTGAATTATAACATGTGCAGTTAATTATTTTCTCATAGGGTAAAAAGCTGGTTTAACGACTCTGATTCACCCTGTATATATGTAGCTTAAACCATTAAAATTTCATACATATATTTCTAATCATTAGTATCTAATAGAATTAATAATTATATGTTGTAGTTAATTTCAAGAAATATTTTTTATAATAGATTTAATTTATTATTTAATTGTTAATCTAAAAATAATATTAACCCGGAAATAGATATCTAAAGCATATTATATTTATACCTCAGTAACGAGAAGATGTGAATTATCGCAAAATATTGTTTTATATACCAGGTATGTAAATATGAAACCGGAATTTACCAATAGATGGCCATAGCTGTC